CAATTGTCTGAGGGACAGCAACCCGGCCCCCTGGCTCAAAAAGGTTGCTTACCCCTGGTCTAAAGCAGTGGCCTCCAAACTACAGTCTGTGGGCCAGCCCTGACCCACCGAGGCCTTCCTACTGGCCTGCCGCCACTGCCGCCGCTGCCACCACACGTGCCTGCTGCCAGATGCCATTTTGGAAGCCAAAATGACAGCTGGCATTGCACTCGCCTGTGCACAACTCGGATGCCATTTTGGCTTCCAAAATGGCACCCAGAGTTGTGCGCATGTGCGCGCGATGCCACGTGTATGCGCACAACTCCGGGCACCATTTTGGAAGCCAAAATGGAGCCTAGGGTCGCACGCACATGTGCACTACTTGGACACCATTTTGTCTTCCAAAATTACGCCTGGAGTCGTGCGCATGCGTGCATGACACCACAGGCATGCACACGACTCCAGATGCCATTTTGGAAGACAAAAATGGCGCTTGGAGTTCTGCGCATGCGCCTCCAGCCCCCTGGAAGATTTGGGCGCCAGTGAACCGGCCCCCGGATCAAAAAGTCCAGGAACCCCTGGTCTAAAGCAATGGCAACTCCACCCCTGGTGTCATCTGGTGTGTGTGTGTGGGATGCCTGGGGGGTAGTGACCAGAAGGGCACTCTCTCCTTTGCCGCAGTGGCAGAGAGCCCAACTAGGTGTAACCCCTCTTCTGGGATGTCACCCACACTCCCTACACCCCCTAGTGATGCCACTGGTCTAAAACATTTGCTTTTCAGGCTATCTAATGGGGGTGGGTGGGGTGGGGATGGCAATTATAGTATTTCTTTCCAGTGTGCCAGACACTGGCACCGTATTTGTGTCCATTGAGTACAATTGTTTCTTTCTTCCTGGAAATTCACCAGGGACTGGCACTAGTCAAGGAACCACCACTGAATAGCACTGGTCTTATAGAGCAATGGGAGTAACTGTCAAATGTTAGTGGGCATGAAGAACAATTTACCTGGGGACAAGGGGTGCTCCAGTCTAGTAGCTGGAGTGCACTGGGTTGGGGAATATTGATAAATATGCTGGAGTGGGATATTTTTGCATTGAGATAGCAAAGCAGCTTCATTTATATACCGCTTCATACCGCACTATGCAGTGTCTAAGCGGTTTACAACTGTAAGCTCATTGCCCCCCAACAGTTGGATACTAATTTTAACGACCTTGGAAGGATGCAGGCCTGAGTCTAGCCTGAGCCCTGGCTATTATTGAACTTGCAACCTTGTGGTTTATGAGTGAGTGGCTGCAATACAGGCATTTAACCACTGCACCACCAGAGCTCTTTGTTACCTCCAGATTCTTCATTGTTTTTGTTGTTAACAGACTAAAATAACTACCGTACTCCCCTGAAAATGTTAGAAACTTTTTAGCCCCTTCCATCTGGATATGGAAGAAACAAAGGAAATGTACAGCAAAGGGTTTTTTTTTGCAAAAGCTGTATAATTCATTTGCTGATACTGTGTTTCTACGTACTAACAAATTCAGACATTGAAATGACAGTT